TATTTTGTAACTTTTGAAACAAGTTGTGTCTTGAGTCTTTTTCTTGTGTTTTTGTCTCACTGACTCTAAGACCAAACCCATCTTGAAACTAATGTTTCTCCTTTTAAAACAACAACAAAAAAAAGCCATCAGTTTTTTGAAAAACAGACATAGTATTTAAGTATGTTTAAATTACCCAATAATTTTTATTCATTTGTCATAGATATAAATTCTTGTCTGTGTTTCACTATTTAGATTTCTAAATTCGGAGCTGTCTCTGGTATGTGTGACAGTGCTCTTTGAGTAAAACTGAAAAACATCAGATAATGTTGTAGTATGATAAATAGAACATATAAGATTAAAGAATAAAATAAGGAGCAAGAGTTAAAAAAAGAAATGGCTATGTAACTTTACTTGGAAATTGGGAATATTTGACCTAATGGGGTTTCCTTTCCCCATAGTAACGAGTGTCTGGAACAGGCAGATCGTCTCTGGCTTGCCACAGTCTCTACCACTTTGTAGTATTGTCTGATTTAATGTACTTATTTACATCATCTGCATAGCTGTTGGAGGCAACTGAGTTGGCCACTACTAGCCTGAACATTTGTGGGCTTTACACAATAATAAAGCATCCACTGACTATGGTTTACCAGGGACTCTCTTAGAGAGGGGAAGTAGAGTTGATCCATTATTTGCAGATTTCATCTTTGTAAATTTGCTTATTTGCTAAAAATTTATAACCCCAATATTGAAACTTATGTCACTTTCAAAATTATTCACAGACATATAGACAGTGACTGAAAATTTGACTTACCCAATACACACATTCCCAGTTGAGGCTGAACAAGTTGATGTTCAGCCTTCTGGTTTCAGCTCTCTACAGTGAATAAGTGTCCTACTTTAAATCTCTTTAATGCCACATTTTTTGTGCTTTATGCTGGTGAGTGCACTGTTTAAAGTGGCCCCCAAGCATAGTGATGAGGTGCTATCTTATGTCCCTAAGAGCAAGAAGCTAGTGGTGTGCCTTGCAGAGAAAATGTATATGTTAGATGAGCTTTCTTCAGACATGAGCTATACAGCTGTTGACCAGGAGTTCCATATTAATGAATCAACAGTAAGATGTCTTTAAACAGACATACGTATAAAACAAGGCTATACTCTGATCCGTTGAGGAAAATGTTGTGCTTCGAGGCTCATAGGAATCTAAC